AAAAATCAAAAAGCTGCAGGATTTGATGGTATTTTTCCTCCATTTATAAAACATTTAAGAAAAGTAGCTTTAAGTTGGCTGACATCTTTTTTAACAACATTTTAGAAGCAGAGATATTACCAGAGGAATTTAAGAAGAGTAAAGTTGTTGCGATTTTAAAAACTGGCAAGTCTAATGACGACCCTTCAAATTATCGGCCAATATCTTTATTGAGTATTATATTATTCCAGAGAATTATCTATGGTAGAATACAGAAGCAGTTCTACCACATGAACAGGCAGGATTCCGCACTAATAGACACTGTACTGGTCAAGTCCTCGCCCTAACAACACAGCCGGATTCCAAAAAGGTTTAAAAACAGGGATGGCCCTTGTGGATCTTACGCCTGCTTACGACACGGTATAGAAAGACGATTTAATATGAAAACTATATGATGGATTAAAATGTAGCAAAATTGTTAGCATAATTGAAAAAATGCTATCAAACCGCAAGTTTAGAGTTTTTGTTGGAGAAAAAAGTAGCACAATCCGTTTACTCAACAACGGACTTCCTCAAAGGTCAGTATTATTTCCTTTATTATTTAATATTTACATATATGATATTCCAACAACGATTTCAAGAAAATTCATTTATGCGGATGATTTATTGATTGCTTTTCAACATAATGACTTTAAAATGATTGAAACAAAATTAACGGAAGACTTAGCCAATATTTCCTGAAATGGAGATTACTTCCCAGTTCCTCAAAAACTGAAGTAACCCGTTTTCATTTAAACAATCACCAGAAAAACTATAAATTTAACATTTTATTAAATAATGTCAATTTAAAACACAATTTTCAACCAACCTATCTGGGAGTATAACTGGACTAACGTATAAATTACACATTGAGAAGCTTAGTTAGAAGTTACAAACTAGAAATAATATTTTGGCAAAATTAGCCGGCACAGATTGGGGTGCAAATGCTAGAACCTGAAGAAGATCTGCTTTAGTTATTGTATATTCAACTGCAGAGTATTGTTATCTCAACCGGAAATTGTAAATTAGGTACAGATACAGGTAACCATTTAATACAGTTGCAACATTATTTATACAGGCTGATTCAAATTCGAGGGTCACCATGGGGATCTCGGGAACTGTAAGAGATAGGTAGGTAGTTTAAATTTGGCAAAGTTGCATATTTTGATGCTTAAGAAAATTTTGAGACAATTTTTTTTTCGGGGCTCAAAAAAAGGCAGTGTATAAACCTTCCTTTTTTATCAAAAATCGACTGCACCAAAATTTCTCGGGAAAACACTTTTTCTTATTAATTTTGGTGCGTAGAATCGAAAACAATTCGTACTTTTTCGATCAGACTTCTCAATCAAAAGTTATAGACTAGAAACCAATTTCGAAAGAAAATTCAAAGGGCTGTAACTTTTGAACTAGTAGCGCAATCTTGGAACTGTTTGAAATTATGGATTCTACAGGCCACATTCTATAAGAAAATTTTTTTCCGGGTCGATCTGAGACAATTTTTTTTTCGGGGCTCAAAAAAAGGCAGGGTATAACCTTCCTTTTTTACCAAAAATCGACTGCACCAAAATTTCTCGGGAAAACACTTTTTCTTATTAATTTTGGTGCGTAGAACACAATTCGTACTTTTTCGATTAGACTTCTCAATCAAAAGTTATAGACTAGAAACAAATTTCGAAAGAAAATTCAAAGGGCTGTAACTTTTGATCCAGTAGCCCAATACAATATTCGTTTAGATACAACTGGACAATGTCTATGTCTATGTTTTGTTGATCAGCATCAGACAATAAATTATTATTATTTTTATAATACTATATCAAATGACACAAAAAGTAAAAATTGCTTCCATAAGAAAAAACGAAATTGATTATGGTTAACCGGAGACGAAACGTCAGGCTTAATATTTAAAACTAGCAGATTGTAGAGAGAAAAAAGTGGTCATAATAATGTTAATGTCATTTATCTTGAAATATCTTTTTAAATAACTTCGGTAAAAACTAAAAACGATTTTGTAGGAAGTAGTCGGAATTTTTTCGGTCAACGGCAGTTTGTTAAGTATCAAAATACGCAATGCCAAATTTAAACTACCCACTTATCTCTTGCAGTTTCCGGGATCACCATGGTGGCTCTTGAATTTGAATCAGCCTGTATATCTATTTTGAACAGATATTACTAATAAAACATTCATAAAAAAAAGTATTTAGTAAAAAAAAATAAGATGCAAAGGTACGTATCCAACAGAAAATTATGTAATGAACAAAAGCAAATTAAAACTTGAAAGAAAAATTTTTACAATCGTTATTTATCCACTTCCAAGTTAGATTTTTGCAATTACAAGCAATGGTTCGACAATGCGATTTATTTGCGAGGAGAGGTTGTTGCACCAACAGTGTTTGTTGGGAAGGATGACAGGAAAAAAGTAGAAATAGATTGTACCATACCATGTGAAGTCCCCGGTGTACGAGCAACCCTGCACAAAAATGGCAGCTTCAAAGGTGAAATTATTTCAAAAATACTAAACTGGTATTTGGTACAAAACCTTCGTGAAACCAACAAGTTATTTTTGTCATTTTGATCCTCGTTTTGATAAATTCTGTATACTCGTAAGGGATCCAAAAGTGGGACTGCAGAAAATTGGTGAAACTGCGAATTTAAAAAAATGACTCGTGTTAAATTGATTTCACCCACATTGTAGAAGAAACAATCAAAGGTGGTGTATTTTTTAACATCTAAAATGTAGTAACTTCTGTTTTTAGTCCGAGGCATTTATTATGCGATTTAGCAGTGTTTAAATAAGCAATTAATTTTAATAGCTAAATTAGATAGATTTATTTAAGTGATTAAATTTAACGGAAAATCGATGTTGTTTACTCGCCAAGTAAGATACTAATGCTAATGCAGTTTATTAGCTACCGCAAAACTGTCCTTATAAAGCTGAGCGCATAAAAATATATATATAGAATACAGGGGACATAAATAGATAAGTATTGAAAGTTTTACAGTTGTCCATAAAATTTAGTCATCTTCTGTATTTCCATTACGAAAAGCGGTAGCGTAAGCGTAAAACCTTGGAGGAGCAGATTATTTTTGAGAAGAGTCGTTAATGTGGATTAGTACTGACACGGCTTCTCCAGGAGTGCAAGCATAAAAAGCTGTCTTAATCCTCTTAATAATATGTGTTAGCGGCTTCGCGTAAGACTGGTAGCACGGCTCCTTATAGAAGATAATCACTTCTTTCAAACTTGCCTTGCTCTAATACCACATCTCCAAGTATGTATGCGAGCACACTTGCCTTAAATTTAAACGAGTTTTTATTTGATTAATCTATTCGAGCTTTTATAACAACACTATTTTTTCTTTTGATTTATGTCCCTGTATTCAACTTAACTTTCTATACGTGTCGCCACGAATGGCTTTACGAAATTTATAAACTATTCTTACTTTCGTCGCTACCAAGCGTGATTTATTTGATATTTTCCTAATTATTGTCACCTAACGGAATTGTGTATCAAAAGTATAAATAGATTTAAAATATCAGTTTCTGAGTATTATTATCTTATCTGTAATTTACCTAACCTTCCTTCTCTGAATGTTGTGTAGAAACTTGGAAATTATCAACTTTTAGTAATAGAGTTTCTGTTTACTGTTGTGTACGGAAGAGCATCTGTATAATGTAAATCTATATAGTATTATACTTTATTTACATATTTACATTTACCAACTGCAATTTTACGAGCCGAACTTGACGCATTATTTGTTTTTGGAAAAATTACGCCATTGTTGGAACTTACCTTTCATACTGTTTTCTTCCCAGGCCAGCTCAGGTAAAAATAAAAAAATAGGAGATGACATAAGTGGTTTTTCAAAAGTTCTTCAAGATTTTTCAAAAGTTTAGCATACAAAAAACGAACAAAATATATGAAATATCCCTTTCCCTTTGCGAAGGAAACCATAGACTTCAGGGGCCATTGTTTTAAGAAAACTATTGTTCAATTTACAATATTTACTTGTACCAATTAAATCGTTTTCCTCAGGTCCGTGTAATAATTGAAATCGTATAGAGAAAGAATGTCATTGATGTAATTTTATGTTATTATTACACGGTACCAATTTGTGTAAAGTGGCTTATGAAAACATTCAACAATTATGTGCGATGTATTTGTGTAAGGACCTGTTCACAGGGATGTAAATTTCATATAATTCATTGTCCATGTAAATGGGTTCGAATTTATTAATTTAAAATAGAAGCTTCCAATAGCGAAAGCGACTAACTATGATTTTTTCATTATTACAAAACATTAGGAGTAGATAAGAAAAAAAACGTTGCCACGAATTAAAAAAAAGTCAGGGGTGGATAAATTAATCCCAAAAAAAATTGTAAGCGATCGCGACGTGGAGTGTAAATTGAGATTTTTTTTATTAATCAATATATTTGTGTTCATATCACATTGGAATATTTATTGTCTATTAACCAGGAAATTAGAAAGCGAACAAAAAATCGCTCATATTTGTTGCACTCGCATTATAAAATAACTCCTTTTGCATAGTAACGTTAAAATGTTCTCAGATTTTCATTGGCAATAAAACCATCAGTAAACTAAAGTGTAATTTAGACATTCCTCCTTTGGTGCCAAAATGGTAACAAATTTTCAGTGCGTTGTTGTGGCTTACATTCCTGAATTTCCTTTTTTTAGCCTAAGAGAATATCTTTGTCTTTTATCAAGTAATCACTGCACTGCCTAAGGAAATTTTATTTATGTATTTGCTTAATTACTTGATGCATTTCGGTGCATCGCAATTTTCCGTAATTAGTACATAAACAATTGCTGTCGACACGTGTACCGTTGAAAATGGTTAACAAAAACAAACAGATTAAGCAGATGCATGCAGTTTATTATTATATGTTGTTAACGACGCGTGCAGATATTATATGGGTTAAGTTGTCAGATGGATGTTTACATACAATTTAGCCGCATTAACGTCCTTAAAACAATTTACCAAAATGTGCGTGCTGAATATGATTACTTGTATTTTCATAATTGAGTAGTTGAAAAAGCGAAGCCTATCCCATTAATCGGCACCTTAGCCAAGGTTGCCTACTTTCTTTAAATGGTAATGCAAATATCAGCTGTAGCAAATTAGGTATTAGCACAATGTTAAATATGGTGAAGGAAATTGGAGAAAATGCGCGCATTTTCAGATTAAGTAGGTTAGAACTATGCACCATTATGCCATTATTAATGACTTCCTAGACGCCAATGGAACTACGTCTGATTATTCATTAGGCCACACGCTGCAAGGTCGACAATTTTCACACCAATTTTTCAAGAAACGGACACGAGAGTTGCACGGAATTGAGATTTATTTAGTATATTCAATCGTCGTCTCTTTTTTTTTAATTTCCTGTGCCCTAGATATTCATACACGCAACATGCTCCACGTGAAGTCTTTGAACATATTAAACAGCTGCGGGCTGAATTGCATAACTAAGAGGTGCTCGTTGTTATGCTTGACACACCACGGCGAAAGTTGTCGGGGAGGTCAATGTCAGATGTAGTACTTAAGTTTTGGACACAACCGGGCGCAAATTAGCTTAAACATTAAAATGATTAATTAACTGGCGAATATTTGTTACTTCTGTCACCCTTTCCACTTCGCTGTCATCTGTCCACCGAAGTTGACCACTGAAATTGGTTTTCAAGTTGGCTACGAAATTAATGTGTTATGCGACTATAAACCGCAGATTAAATTTAGACAGATGAATACTGGTATCTGGCTTAAGTTATGCGAAAGTTCCCTCTTAATTGAATTTGCTTATAACTGGAATGCTCTTGATGTAGGAAACGAAACCTTACCCGGGATTGTAGACACATACGCGAATTACATTTACTAAAAGCGGTGGAAGTCAACAAAATACAATTGTTTACTTTATAAGCCTTATAAATGGCACAAGTTAAAGCGATTCGTACAATATTAAAGTTTACGACTTTTTGTACTACGGCGGCGTCTTTAACTTTTGTAAACTTCTATCTTCAAATTAAATGAGCGCTATTAATAATGCATCTCATTTAGTTGTTCACTCACGGTCTTTCCTACAATTTATTCCCTACCACTGACATTAAACTTTCGTTAAAACTTGAAACTACCTACGATAAATCATTACGATTTTACTTTTTCAACTAAACTCTGTACATATTATAAAAAGAGGATAGCTGAGCTAAATAGAAATAGAAAGTTTTAGGGCAAATGGTGGATGATGGAGATGAAGAAACGTATCAAGGCACGGAGTATGAAGCTATTAGAAATGAGACAGCAAATAACGGTGACTTGTTACTAACGCTGAGGAAATCATCGGATCTATGGTACCAGTCGTATTGCAAAAGGATTTTTTGAGTTCAAGGATTGGCTAGGATATTGGGCTAAATTTGAGAAATTTGACCAGGGTGGTTCTTTACATGGCAGTGATAAGTTCCAGTATTTACTTCAGTCATTTTTACGTAGAACCGGTGAACATGAGATAGCAAACAGCAACCCCCAGTCAAATGAAAACATCCCGCTGGACCTATCCCCCTCCCAGGAGGAGATATGGTTTTGAAAAGTTGAATCATCAATGGAATTACATGAAGAAATTGAGGCAAACGTTTTCCAAAGGAACCATCTCGTAAGTTGCAGTTAAATGTATATAATCGTATGAATATTTACACTTCTAATTCTTACCGGGATAAATTTAATTTTATAAGGCTGTTGTAACCATTCTAGTGCTTCTGGAGAAACGTGGTGAAGTGCTTCAAAACCGGGATTAAGCTTTGAATTTGGACATTCCTCAACTATATGTTGGATGGTTTCTTTAGGATCTGCGTCTGGATTGTGTTCTGGATTCCATTTGTGAGTATGTAATTGCATCTTCCATGTCCTGTTCTTATACGATTTAATTTGACCCACATTTTTCTTGGAAGATCAATCCCTGCAACTTCATTGCACGGTTATTTGATTAAATTTCGATTAAAAATTGTGTTATTATGCTGTATCCAAAAAATTTTCCAACGTTCTTTAATGGAATATACATTTGAATGTTTGTAGTCTTCTTTCCATAACGGGTTTCGTAATTTTAATCGATAAAAAGGTAGGTAAATTATTCAGATCTAAATTTATGGGGAAATCAGCGTTATTTTTATATTTGTCCCACAATTTTTTTAGAAACAATTCTCGTCTGATATTGGGTGGAGCAATGTTGGAGAGAACATGTAACCAAGGTATAGGAGTATATTTAAATGTGCCGGTAATTATTCTCATTACAATCTGGATGACCTGCTATTATAATGTTATCGTGTTCTCTAATTTATGCGCCAATGAAGCTAACTTAATTACTTTTCTAGGTACTAATTAGTTGAACATCAAATGCTGTCAGCACTAATGTACAATTTAGGTATTTAGGTACTTTGTAGGTGAGCTATTTTTGTTGTTGCCTTAATCGTGTAGGTAATTTCTACAGAAACAAGTATCAATGAAACTTTAATAAAAATGATGGAGTACACTAATATTCATTCACGTCACTCTTACCCTCTCCATAAAGTTCTGGTGTCTTACAAATCAATTTTGGAAGTACGGTGATCCATATTATGTTAAATGCGATTTTTTCCCGAAAGCTCAATAATTGTAAAGTTTTTGAGTGTGTTGAGGTAACCCTAATTTATAGTATTCTTAGTACATTATTTTAGAGTAAACTCTATTAGCCTCAAAATTCCGCTTTATTGTAATTTCAGATTATGGTATTGAAAAGCCGTACCATCTTGAAGACATTTGGTTACTCCTTCTCCTGCACTTTCGTGGATATAGCGATTTCAAATCTGCGTTTAAAACATGGTGGATTTAATTACTACCCGTGATGTTAAAAGGGAACAGTGCTTAGATAATTAAGAGGTTCGAGCATAATAAAGAACTCCACCAAGTTTTACAGTTGCTGAAGAATAAGTATCTAAAAGTGAATTATGTTTGTTCCACCACAAGGTTATTGTTTAATAAAATGTAATGTAATAATGTTTATTAATCCAATATAATACGGGTTCTGCCTAAATAAATTGGTGTGAAAAGACTCATTGTGAAATAAGCGCATCTCCCATCTCGGGTTAAGGACACGGTGATTTAGCGCGCCGGAGTATTTTTTGTCTTTCGACAACCGAACTCCCCCCTGCTCCCCCCAATTGAAAACGAAGAAACTTGCCTAGGTGTTAGCTACTTTATCCTGAATTACCTTTTAAGTTAGCGAAGGGGGTGCGAGAGATAAATAATTGTGTCACTAAATAAAATTACCATGTTCTGTGTTTGAGGTATAGAAGTGCCCTTCTGGCGGACCCAGGATTCTCGGTTCAATTTCAGATCACACACAGATTACTAAATATCCCATGTAGTTGTCGATATCGGGAAATGCATAAAATTTGTAATCAGATTGAATAGAAGTAAATGACTAATTATTCGAGTTGCGCACATTGATTGACTCGAATGGTAATTAACCTATTTGATCAGTCAGCGGGGTTTTCATTTTCGATTAACGCATGCATAAATTATTTCGCAATGCAATGCCGCCAAAATCAATTGTGTAAACAGCGACCCAATCGCATTAAACAAACTGCACGAAACACTACTCAAAGCTAATTCGCCCCGGCCTGATGTTATTTTTCAATTACTATTATTATATTAAATTCGTTCGTTCTTTTTGTAATGCCGAAAGCGCAGTAATACAAATAACATGCATTTTGAAATATGCGCTCCATCAATGTTTGTTATGGTTAATTATATACTATTTTAGTAAACATACAAAGGACGCCATGCAACTGTGGTCGTGTTTCATTATTTTTGTTTGAAATTTTTGCTATACCTTTGTGTTGTTTTAAAAATAGGTAGAATTAGCTTTAATTTTTACCCTGTTTGTTAACTTCTGGCATTAATTAGTAGTCTTGTACATCAAAACAAAGCAAGTAAACTGTAGAAACTTTATACCTATAGCAAATTTAAAAATCTCTCTATCGAAGAATCAATATCCAAAACCACTCAATTGTTCTGAAACCACATCATACAGCAAAATCTTATAACAAATAGTTGTATAATGCTATAACAATTCATGAGTATCAAAAGTTACCAGTTTGAATTGTTTTTTTTTATTAAAAGATATTCTTGATGGAAATTCAAAATATACATTTGTCAAACGTGATGGAACGTTGGATCTAGTGAGTGTGACCGGTATTGAGAATGTTGAGTGGAGAGATATGAAAAATTTTCGACCTAAACCATTCTTTCACTTCTGCAATGTGGAATCATTAAATAGACTTGTATTTCAGAAAAGGTGCTTTAATTTCTGTGTTCATTAAAACTGCATCCTTCAATGGACAATCGCTCCTATTCTGTTTATTCTCGGAAAACTCCTCGTGGTCTATCTTTTATTTTATCCATGCTACCTCCAGTTACCAGTTTTTTCGATGATATCTCGTGTATATATTGAATGGGACGAAGCCTCGCCGATAATTGCCTTATTTTTCCACTGTAATCTCAAAGGAAAGTAAAAGTGCGAATAAATTCCGAGTTCTAAAATTGCATTAACCCAGTGCACGAAAACTCACTTCGACCGACAAAGTTTATCCATCATTGAGTAATCCATCGCTCGCTAACATTGCGCCAATGTAAACATTTTGGAGTGACGAATTTAATTAGTCGCTTGCAAATAATGATAATGTACGGCGATGGAATTTGCAATGCGCATTTGTGTTATTATCGACTTCGGCCGGTATTAATAGCAAGGCACCTCGAAGCAAATAGAATGGGGAAAAAACTTAATGCCCCTCAGTAAATTAAACAAAAAAAAAGAGGAGCGGAATGTAAAACATCCTACTATATAAACAAATCAAGCTTTTAATGCGTAGTGACTATTAGAGCGTTAATTTACTCTACTTATTTTATTTGCGGAGTGCAGATCTGTTTCCTTTCTCTTAATGGCTTCGCAGATGCCTATATTTTATTTTTAATCAACTCAATGAAATGTAATTACAAGCGATACACATTTAAAGTGATAAAACACTACAATGTTGTGTACCTTTTTTCTTAGTACAGAATTTTTTTAATTGTATGACGATTAAATATTATTGGCAAAAATAAGATTTCCAATTATCGACAATTATCTTTGCACTCATGCAAATAAAATTACATGTACGTTTCCAATTTCAACATTTTACATACATATACTTCCCTCTTTCGGACTGCATATTACGGTACGTTGCCACTTTACTGCCTCGGAATAAATTGCAGTAATCTGTCCTGGTAGTTTATTGTTATTACAAAAGTAAGCACCTACCTAAACGCTTTACGATTTCTGCAGTGGTCTGGAATTGCGAAACGAATAATTAGTAGGCTTCATCTATTTTGTAATAGCGATATTTTCTACACTTCTGTCCATGTCAGTGCAACGTAAGTTGAAATTTTATTTAAAAAAATAAAATGGAGCCCACATAGCAGACCTATCTACATTGCATAAATTCCACGTGGGATATTGTATATCCATAGAATGTGGAAAAGTATGTCGCAAATGTCCGATGTATGTGCATGGGATATAAGTTTGGCAGACTTCACATAATACATAGTATATACGTTTTGGATGTCTTATGTATATGCATCACACATGCTATGTATATTGGTATACTGACAACTGGATATATCATGAATATTCCTGTAATATGCAAAAGATGTTCAATAGGATATTCTATGTATGTTGTATACATTCAGAATGAATGTTCTATAGAGATTCCTCTAACATTCGGGAAGTTTACTAGCGTCCATACCAGAGCTGGGCAGTATTCGAATTTGTAAATCCTTTAAAGTATTCAAATACTTTGTAATTAAATACTTTTATGGAAGCAGTATTTGTATTTGTAACTCAAATACTTTCACAAATATTTAGTCAATCTCGAAAGAAAATTCAAAGGGCTGTAACTTTTGAACTAGTAGCGCAATCTTAGAACTGTTTGAAATTATGGATTCTACAGGCCACATTCTATAAGAAGATTTTTTTTCCGGGTCGTTCTGAGACTATTTTTTTTCGGTCCTCAAAAAAGGCAGTGTACAACCTTCCTTTTTTACCTCGTTTTTTACCAAAAATCGACTACACCAAAATTTCTCGGCAAAACACTTTTTCATATTAATTTTGGTGCGTAGAATTCAATTCGTACTTTTTCGATCAGACTTCTCAATCAAAAGTTATAGACTAGAAACCAATTTCGAAAGAAAATTCAAAGGGCTGTAACTTTTGACCTAATAGCCCAATCTTGGAACTGTTTGAAATTATTACTTTTACTCCCCTTAAATTTGTATATAACAATAGAAATATAAAAAAAGCTAACCCCATACAAAGTATAACTTGATTTTTTAAGTAGTATTAAGACTTTTATCTAGTATACTATTTTAAATTTTTAATGTATTTGAGTGACAAGTATTAGAATACTTTTGAAAGTATTCGAATACATTCTAAAGTATTTGAATACTTATTTTTTTAAGTATTTGAATACTTTTCAATGTATCTGTATCTAGTATTCGCTTGTGCTGGACGTAAAAGTATTTAGTATTCAAATACCTTTGATTTGTGTAAAGTATTTACTATTTAGTATTCAAATACTTTTTGAAAGTATTCTGCCCAGCTCTGGCTATACCTTCATAAATAAATTCTTTTCACGGAGTGGAGCTTTTTGTTTATTAAGTCTCTTAGTGTACAATGGAAAATGTGCTTAAGAAATTATTATTGTTTTATTTAACACTGTAGTCTTGAGTCATTTTGATCGTGTTCTTGTTCAACACTATAATAGCGCGAGTTCATAACAAATAGGTTGCTAACATACCTGCCATTCTTGTCCTTATATTAATTCCCATCCAGTCTTTACATCTCACTAGCACATATTTGCAACTTTAGATCATGCACACACGAAATAAAAATCATTACTTTCACTGTCAAAATTAGACAAACAAACTCATTAATAACTCGCAGAATAACACTCCTGATTTTAGAAAAATGAGCTGTATTTGCAATAGCACCTTACTATATTCATCGCCGTAATTCACAGAAAATGAGACGCTAACGTTTGTAACGTCGGTAATACAGAACACGCATGTATCAAATCCAAAACGCATATACATAACATATAATCCCATGTATATACATAGCACATCCAAAATGTATATTATTTATAAAATATCCATCTATTTAATATTGTGCACGATAAACTAGATACCCCCGATTTGCTGTCTAAAATTAATTTTCTTGTACCATCTTATCACTACCGTTTGAGTTTACCATTTCACCTTTCTCCGCCACGTACTAATGATTTATATATTATGTCTCCAATTTTAAGTTCGTGTAAAACATACAATAAACTTTGTAAAACCGTGGACATATTTAATTCAACACTAACTTGTATATTCACTGAGATTAATCTTTAATTGCTATTTTTACTATAGTTGTTTGGTTTGGTTTTTATTTTTTTTTAATTATTTTAGTTCTATAATTTTTTTTATACCAATTGTTCTACTGTTTGTAATATCTACTTGTATCGCCTCTATATTATCTGTTAAATGTCCTGTAATTGGAATTTGTTTTCTGTTGGGCATTAAACTATTATTATTATTTTTATTATTATTATTATTATCCATACTGAACACAAAATACATATGCCTATCCTATAATGAATATACATAGTATATACATAAGATGGACAGGATATTCCCTGTACATTATGGATTTAAAATGTATATACATAAGATATCGAATGCTATGTGGGAGGAAGCGTGTAAGAGGAAAATAGTATACACTGAACTACGATACAATTTACAAATCCAAAATATTAACCCCCTTCCTCCATATGTGTAATTGATAAAACAACTTTTATAATTAACTTTGAACTTTGGAATAGGCTATTTCAGATTCAGACTATGAGGGGATGGCAAGGATGCAATAAACTTAAAAA